TCATTCTAGCACTTGCCAGATTCATTTGAATAATCAATAATACGAGTACATGTTATACAGGTTCTAGATGATTATCTTTTAGAAACCTTTTCAACAAAACAACAAAAATTATACAAACTTAAAATATTTTTTTTGTGTAACGAATTTTGTAATAAAAGCATGGAACAAAAATAGATACGAGGTAGAAAATCTGTATGTGAAAATTTGTTAGCTAATTATCAATAATCCTGTATATTAGATAAATTGATACTGGAAAATCTTAGTAGAGCAACTTTCCACGCTACGGCCAGAAAGATAACTGCGGTGGCGGTACATGAAGTGGCGGGGCAGGGAGGGTGTAGATGTGTCACCAGAACGCAATTTTTCTGTTTTGCTCTGAAAGACTGGGCTCTTAAAGAACATATTAAACGATCAGAAATACGCAATAGGAATTTTATTTGACATGACAAAAGCATATGAAAAAATTAAATATGACATTCTCTTAAATAAACTTTATGACATTGGTATCCGTGGTGTAGCTCATAAGTGGTTTGCTTCCTTTCTCAGCAATCGTTCACAGTACGTCGAAATAGAAAATGTAGATCAAGATTCAAAAACCATAACATGTGTCAGGTCGTGGGCCCAGCCGGTGCGGGACTCTATCCCTCAGGGTTCCGTACCCGGATGTGTCCTCTTCCTCATTTACATCAATGACCTCCCCAAGATTATTGATGAGTTTTGTGTGATGTTTGCCGACGATTTTTCCGTTGTGTTCCCTTATATCAATGGTACCAAACTTAATGAAAGAATCGACATAATTATAAATAAAGTAGAACAATGGCTAAGCGATCATAATTTAGGATTCAATTTCAAAAAAACTAAACTAATACAATTCAGACCACGACAAAAACATGAACTAGAGATAAATTATACATATAATCAAACAAAATTAGAATGTGTTCAAAATTTTTCTTTGCTGGGTATAAATATAGATTCGAATGTTAATTTTAAATCACATATTCAAAAAAATAAGTGAAAATTATCACAATTTATATATGCTTTAAGAGAATTAAAAAATCTACAAATTTAAAAACGGCAGTGACAGCCTATCACGCCTACGCTCAAGCGTGGCTAAACTACGGCATCATACTATGGGGCAGCAGTGTAGACTCACACGAACTTTTCATTTTACAAAAAAAATGTATACGCGTACTTGCAAATATCAAGCAAAGAGAAAGTTGCAAACCTCACTTTCAAAGTCTCAAAATTTTAACATTACCGTGCATATATTAGAAATATGTAAATTTGTAAAAAGACACCCAAGTTTTTACACCAAAATCATAGACGCGCCCCGACACAACGTAACTCGCTATAAGAATAACCTTTTGCAACCAAAATCTATGTCAATAAAAATTTATAATAAATTGCCGGAATACATAAAAGCCGAAACAAATATTAATAAATTCATAAGATCTTTAAAGGAGATACTTATTAAAAAAAGTTATTATTCAATTAATGAATATATTGAGGAAAAGAATTTTTAAGTGTCTGCCCCTCTCCTGTTCATTGCTATGCCTTTCGAGGTGCACGTGATTGTTAGAACTTGCATGTTTTGTTTAGTCTCTAAGTCACATGTAACGCAATTTGTGAATAAATAAATAAATACGCCGATGATCAAGTTATCCTTGCGTCGTCGGCGGCCGAGTTGCAAATGATGATTACATTAATGAACAGATCATTAAAAGAAAGGAAAAGAAAGGGGTATGAAAGTGAACGCAAGTAAGACGAAGGTTATGGTTTTTGAAAGAGAAGAAAGTAAAACGATTTGTGAAATAAGAATAGAAGGGGAGTTGATCGAGCAAGTAGATGAGTTTGTAGGTATATTTGGGCTGCGTATTTAGCAGGGATGGGAGATATGATAAGGATATAGAACGACGAGTGAATGCGGGAAATAGAGTAAATGGGGCCCTGCACTCTATTGTGAAGAGTCAACATGTGTCAAAAAAGGCACGTATGGCAATTCACAATGCTGTGTTGGTCCCTACTTTAACGTATGGTAGTGAAAGTTGGGTGTGGCAGAAGAAGCACGAGAGTAGAATCAACGCAGTAGAAATGCGGTCCTTAAGGAGTATGTTAGAGCTGAATCTGAACGACACGGTAAGAAATTGTGTATTAAGAGAAGAGTGTGGTTTGCAAGATGTTGTTGTGACCAGGATTAAGAAAGGAATGCTTTGGTGGTTTGGTCATGTGGAAAGAATGAATGAGGAAAGAGTGACAAAGAAAATTTATGTTGCAGAAGTGAATGGCAGAGTCGGAAAGGGACGTCCTAGGCGAAAATTTATCGACCAAATTGGCGATTTATTGAAAACGGGCTAAATTAGGAGTACCCTTAACCGACGAGCATGTATGCGTAGGTGTATGGATGTGAAGGAGGCGAGAGAGGTGTGTCAGGATCGTACCAAATGGAAGTCTGTAGTCTCTGCCTACCCCTCTGGGTGACAGGCGTGAGTGTTTATGTATGTATATACTGGGTGGTTGAAAAGAAACTCCCTATCTTTATTTGGTTGTAAACTTTACCAGCTTCGGCCAAATTCATGTAATCTTATGTAATTTTTTTCTTTATAGATTGAGAATTAGGTAAAACATCATAAAATGGTTCAAGGGAGATTGTCAATGCAAGAGCGAGCGCAAATTGCCTCTCGCTACGAAGTGTGGCAATCAATAGTGGAAGTGCAAAGGTGGTGGCGGAATTTCAACGGACCTCATGCTGTTTTGGATCCAAAAACCATTAAAAACTGTCGTTCAAAGTTGATGAAAACTGGATCAGTGGCAGATAGTAAAAGAACCGGCTGTCCTTCAACATCAAGATCAGAAGAAAGTATTAAAATTTTTCGAGAAATGTTCACAAAAAGCCCATACAAGTCAACATGTCAAGCAGCTCGTGAGAGCGGACTTACACGGCACACTGTAATGATAGCCCTTAAGTCTATCAGCTTTCGTCCTTGGAAGCCACGTCACTGCCATGAAATAACTCCAGAGGACTGTGATCGCCGGATGGAATACGGAGAGATTATGCTCAGATGGCATGGAGATTGTTCAGAACTGTTTGAAACATTATCTGGACTGACGAAGCAATTTTTCACGTTGGGGGCTTTGTTAACTGTCATAACTGTCATTATTGAGCAGAGTTTGACCCCAAAATAACTGCTCAGAAAATGCAAAACCGTTTCAAGGCAACAGTTTGGTGCGGTATGACATCAAGTCAAGTTATTGGCCCTTTTCTTTTGAGGGAAACAATGAATGGAGAGTGCTATCTCAACATGCTCGAAAAAAGAGTTTAGCCAGCTTTGTCAACGTTTGATAACATTGAAAATATAATATTTATGCAAGATGGAGCTTCACCACATTTCGCATCGAATGTCCAACAGTGGCTAGATAACCGCTTCCCAGGGCGTTGGTTAGGTCGCCGCGGGTGACACGTATGCCCTGCTCGTAGCCCGGACCTCACGCCTTTCGATTTTTTCCTGTGGGGTTGGGCAAATGATGAAGTCTATCGCTCAAAACATCGCACTCGTGATGAACTGGAAGTAAGAATTCAGCAAGTGCTAACAAATGTATCTCATCACTTTCTACAAAGGTCCGCAGCATATATTCCAAGACGTTTGAAAAAACTGGTAGAAAATGGCAGGCGCTTACATTAAATTCTGAATTTTTCAGATTTTTTTTATAACTCACATTGTACAGTTTTATTTGCTTAGTGGTTTGACAAATTAATGTAAAAAATTAAAATCTAATAACCAAATAAAGACAGGGAGTTTCTTTTCAACCACCCTGTATATATATATATATATTTTTTTTTTTATTAAATATTTATTTACAATTAATTATAATAACAGAAATAATCAATAATAGTTATTTATTATTAGTAAAATATTTTACTTTAATAAAAACTTAAAGATCCCACGCACTCATTTTCTTATTAAATGCTTACGCTTGTTTAAGTTGTTTGTTTTTTTGTCACTTATAATTTTTTATTAAATCATTTAATATGTACAAAAAGATGAATATTAATTAAATATGGTTTTATTTTATAACAAAAAGGTTAGTTTCAGACGTAGGGTTTTTTATAGAATAAGGATAACAAGCGAACACACAGTCTATCTGATGTTAAGTAAAGACTGTGGCCATAGATTACTGTATATATACTAGACTGTGGCTAATAGACATCTCCATCTATACTCGAATAAGAACCAAATGTAGATGAGATTTCAACCTTGAGGGCTGAGATGGAATGCCTCGTATCCAGTAAAAAGGGTTCTCTGGTTCTCGTCAGTTATCATACGAAACACAGCAGCCTTAAGCTGTTATTTTAAGCTGGTATTTTGTGCTAGTAGTAGCTAATCCATTTGCTTCACAATCGTAATATAGCTGCACCATGGCTACATATCACGTAATGTAGCACTTTGGTAGATTTCAAAATTTGTCGCAGTACATACTTTCAACTTTAATGTGGTCACACTTATCCTAATCTCTGTTCTTGTTGTCTTTTGTCTATGGCACTTCAATTTGACAATAATGCAACATATTGGGTGCGTTTGGCAGAAAAAAGCGCTAGCAAGCGCTTGTAAGCAAAATGGCGAAACTAAACAGTTTTCGGCCAGGACACGTTTGCTAACTTCAGTAGCGCTGACAAAATCCGCCATTTTGCTTATTTAATTTGTTTGTTTTGAAATAGAGTTTATAAGTTGTTTTGTGCAATATTAGTTTTAAGTAATATGATGACATGAATAAACATATACATGTTATTAAAAATTCATGATTGTTAAGTTTTTAATATGAATACTTTACAAACACATATTTAAATTAGGTTAGGTTCCTCGGTTAAAGCTAACTTCGTGTCCTAGAGGAAAATAGCTATTTACGATTTGACAGCGCTTACCGCTTACGATCGCCATTTTGGTTACAAGCGCTTGCTAGCGCTTTTTTCTGCCAAACGCACTAATTTATTTATCTATGCAATAATGGCGAGCACGTCGAGGTCTGTTTTTAATATTTATTTATCTTCTTGTTATCTTCATAGCGAAGTAAATTTATTATTAATCAAACGAATATTACTTAAATGTTATTATATTTTAAGTAAGTGACTGGTTGTGGTGGATGTAGCTATGAAACGGGAAACATAAAATAGTTCATGTTCTTGAATGATGCCTTTACTTTCTTTTGCAATTTTAGGATCGAAGCAAATAAGGTGGTATGCTATGCGCATCCTGATGCACCACTTATCGAGGATTACAGGGCTGGTGATATGATATGTTCAGAATGTGGCCTTGTGGTTGGAGATAGGTAAAACTTATTTTGATTTTTTGTTATTTTCCCCGTGTCATGTTTTCACACAAAAATAACAGAAATAAAGTAGTATTAACAAGTAGGTACTCTTTTTATTACTATTTTTCAACACTGTTGTAAAAATCTATAATTAAATGAAAAAAATTAAAAATTTGTTATTTAACTATATATTTAAAATTATATATATATATTTAAAATTATATTTAAAATTATTATTCTTACAGTGACTGCTAGTTTTAAAATTTACTGTAAGAAAGTAATCATTGAACACAAGTAATTTGTTCAAATGAAACTTAATTTTGTAATAACTGACAATTATTATTGTATACTTATTATAAGGATAAGTATAAAAATATAATTAATGGTAAGTTAATTTTCAGAGTTATAGATGTTGGGTCTGAATGGAGAACATTTAGTAATGAGAAATCTGGTGTAGACCCATCTCGTGTAGGTGGTCCTGAAAATCCATTACTCTCAGGAGGTGATCTATCTACGATCATAGGACCTGGTCGTGGTGATGCTTCTTTTGACAGTTTTGGGGTGTCAAAATATCAAAATCGACGAAATATCAGCAGTACAGACAGAGCACTCATAAATGCATTCCGAGAAATAAATACAATGGCTGACCGTATAAACTTACCAAAGACAATAGTGGACAGAGCCAACAATTTGTTTAAACAGGTAAAAACTTATTTGTTATAATGTTTGTAGTTTAACAACCAAACAAAATGTTACTTTTGTGTAATCTGTACATTAGTGATCAACTTACATTATTGGTATGAGCCGTGGTAACTGAGATGGTTGCATTCTGTATGGTATCGGTATGCAATTAACCTGGGTTCAACCTCACTGGCACCAATGAAACTGTTAATTGCAATTTAAGTGCTAATTTACCACATGCTCAGCAGTGAAGGAAAACATTATGAAGCAACTGGCATGTCTGAGAAATAAGAAATTTTTTTTCTACCGATACCCATTGGGACAGTGCGGCAGACTTCCTTGGCCTAAAATCCTCTCAGAAATGAGGGGAGGCATGTGCCCAGTAGTGGGATATATACAGGCTGTAACCTTACTTTTGCTTTACTTTACGTTATTGGTAATTTGTGGTAGCTAGTTTTGACATCAGTAAAGTCGTATTTTTACACTTTACTAAATTATTGAAACTTAGTCCTGGATGTGTACAAAATATTGCACACTTTAAACATGGAGCAGGGAGTTTGGATTTAATTGTCAAATTGAGAAAGTCATTCTACCGTCTCTAATTATTTTGGTATATATTTATACCACACTAATATGTGAAGAAAATAATATTATATTTTTTATATTAGTTTATTAAGAAAAATTATCCTAGAATCTCTCTAATGTGTAACCATTTTAGATATGCAACATAGATATATGTAGTTGATTATTATATTAAATGATAGAATCACCCAGAATGTCACCTGTGTAGAACTTTAAGCTTGGCACTTATTAGGCAGGTAGGGTTGGTACAGTTACATTTTTCTGAAACTGCTGACGAGGTAGGGAAGAGATGGAATGCGACTGAATCGTCACTGCAATGCAGCCTGTCTTAGTGGTCATGGAACTCAACTAATTGAAGGATGCATATTTTACAATACCAGAGAAATATATCAGGAAGTTATTTATGTAAATCTTCATATAAAATCGTCAAAAATTTCGCAAGATTTGTAAAAATACTCTGAAGAGATTTAGCATATCATTCTTCAGATCCAGAAAAGTAGTAAGACCACAAAATCTTCTTTTCTTTCCTTGTTTATTATTTTCTTCTTCAGGTATTAAAATAATATATTAAATGTAAATAATTCTTTATGACTGTAGCTAAATTCTGCCTATACGACCTGGCCCGACTTGTATAATAGACGCAGTATGCAAAAATTATCTTTGCTCTGTTTATATTACACGCTTAGCCGTCCTTATACTGCTCAAACTAATGGGAGTTTCTAGTTCTCCATTTCAATCAAAGAGAATCAAGTCAAGCAATTCACGCCTGTAAAAATGTGTCATATGATTTTATATGATAACTTAATAACATAAACAACTGACAGTTAACAACAGGATTATTCTTTGACCTTTCAAAGGCCTTTGATTGCATTTCACATGACATATTGCAAAAGTTTGAGACAATTGGGATCAGAGGACTAGTACTTCAGTGGTTATCGTAATATTTAAAAGACAGACAACAATGTGTTATCATTGATAAAATATATAAAAACAATAACTTGACATCTCATTAGTCTGGATATATATATATATATATATATATATATATATATATATATCCTTTTATTACCTATTCTTTGACCTTTCAAAGGCCTTTGATTGCGTTTCACATGACATATTGCAAAAGTTTGAGACAATTATATTATTATATACCTTTTATTATTATTTATATATATATATATATATATATATATATATTTGGCGTTCCGCAAGAAAGTATATTAGGACTCATTCTTTTCCTATTATATATTAATGATATTGTTGACATTACGAATCATAAATGTGTTTTGTAATGAACGCTGATGACATTTCAATTATTGTAACTAGTAATAAAAATAATAATACAATGAGGAATCATCAAGATGACATTAATAAGTAATACAATTGACAAATTAATAGAATGGCTAGACATAAATAATTTGAAAATTAATTTAGATAAATCTATAATATTAAACTTAATATACCAAAACTAAAAAGTTACATGTACAAAATTTCTGGGAGTAACATTAGATGAAGATATAAACTGGAAAGAACAAATAGATAACATATGCAGTAGAATCAATAAATTTGTATATGCCCTTAAACTCATTGTGTTGTGTTACTGTTTTAATATTTGTGATGTTAAAAACATCATAATTGCAACATACCACACATACATAAGGTCTATTCTACGCTATGGAATTATAATATGGGGTAATAGTTCTGACCGAAGCAGGGCATTCGTTGCCCAAAAAAATGTATTCGTGCAATGTGCGGGATGTCGCCAGATATTTCCTGTAAACCAGTATTTAAGAGACTTGGTATATTACCTCTCCCGTCACTATACGTTTATGAAGTTTGCATGTTTGTGTTTAAAAATAAGTCATTGTTTATTAAAGCGCGTGATATATATCCCCGAAGACGACGTGACCCAGAAAAACTAGTTCTAGAACGTTATTCCTAGATTCATTAAATTCAACAAAAGTTGCCTAAATATGTGTATAAAAATAAACTACCTAATGAATTTAAATTATTAAGCGAAAGATTATTTAAGAAACATTTGTTTAATTGGTTAGAAACCGAATTTTATTATGACGTAAAAGATTTTTTAGTTTGTAATTAATTAATATTGTTAATTCTGTATTTGCATGCTATTTACCATTGTTAGCGAAACACGAGTGCAATGGATAAATTGTAAGAACTTTTTATACCGTGATTCTTGCAAATAAAAATTTGACTTATTACAAGTACAAGTTTTAATAATTATTCAATATCATTTTTTCTTCTTTTCAGGTTCATGATGGCAAAAATTTAAAAGGCAGAGCAAATGATGCAATAGCTTCTGCTTGCCTCTACATTGCATGTAGACAAGAAGGTGTTCCTCGTACATTTAAGGAAATCTGTGCAGTTAGCAAAATAAGTAAAAAAGAAATAGGAAGATGTTTTAAACTAATCCTCAAAGCACTTGAGACTTCAGTGGACCTTATCACTACTGCGGACTTCATGTCCCGGTTTTGTTCAAACCTTGGATTGCCAAATTCAGTGCAAAGGGCTGCAACACATATTGCACGAAAAGCAGGAGAGTTGGATATTGTGTCCGGGCGTAGTCCTATCTCTGTTGCTGCTGCTGCCATTTATATGGCGTCACAGGTTAGTTTAGCTTTAGTTTTATGACTAAAGAAAAAGCTTGCAGTTTTTTAACAAACTTAGCTTTAAGAGTATCCACTACCCCATATCGTCACATGCGTGTCGTAAGAGGAAAATTATGGCATTCTGATAACAAGTTAATTACAATAAAACTGTGGTTGCCAACCTGTCTGCCAAGCAAGGCAATAATGGCATATATATACATATACATATACTTTATATATATATATATATATATATATATATATATATATATATATAATATATATATATATATATACATATATATATGTATACATCCCGTAACTTATTGTGCGTCCGCTATGGCCAATTTTGCATATAATGTGGCGTCAACCTGCTTACGACGTCCGACGCTATGTTCGCAAATTGTCATGCTGATCACAGAAATGTCAAAATCTAAAAAAAAATTGGACGTCATTTTTCTTCCAATCTTGCTGTACTGAATATTTACGTAGTTCCGCTAATTTTCGTTGCAAAAATAATAGCGCTGCTGTCGATTTGTGAATACTTTCATTTATGGCCGTATTTGACTTCCACACAAAATTAGGAGATGCGACGTTGCCGTTCCGTCACCGTTGCCAACGTGTTACTTGTATTTGGTGATATATGGTTATGACTCTATGGTATATAACTATGCCTCGTTGGTCTAGTGGTTGTAGTAGTGCAACTGCTGATCGTGAGGTCCTGGGTTTGAATATCGGGTCGGGCCAAAAATTCAATTATTGAGTTTTTCTGTCAAGAAATTCTCAATAGCCCCCGGAGTCAGGAAGTTGACGGTGTATCACCCCCTTGCCTCGGAAAGCACGTAAAGCCGTTGGCCCTACGCCTGATCTCTCTCCGGTCGTGTCGGTTTACCGTCCCATCGGATTATGAGAATGAGGGAATAGAGAGTGCACCTGTGGTTGCGCATACACTTGGGCACTATAATCCTGTCCTGCGCCGATGGCTAGTCTCCGTTGAGGCAGGCCGCCGTGACAGTAATTCGTTCTGCAGGACATTATTATATGGTTTACACTGCGCTTGGTACTAGTAATTTTACTTTTAAACTTGTTTTCTTAAACTTACATTTACCTACACATAATATGGACATCCTAATATCCTAAAACTTTCATACTGAATGATATTTGACATCCGTATTTTTGAATTTAGTTATATTTTTATAAATGTAGATGCGGACGTCGGCTTATCGGTTTATTTCATGCTGCACTATATTTTAACATTTTAAATTTGGTACTAATCTGCCTAAAAGAACTTTTGTTAGTTAGAACTTTCGTAAGCAACCCATAATTTTGATTGAGTATAAGTTACCTTCTGATTGAGTACAGGAAGATGGACTCAATTGTAGATATTGACAGGCTTCATAGAAGTTTGTTTTATTATATTGTGACTAATAACCTCTGACTAATAACCTAATATGGTCTGGCGAGGAAACTCATTTGAATATAAGGTTTTACTATATTAAGTTGTTAATTTGTACAATAGACCGTGGCATATTGTTGCTGACATAACTCCGAAAATATAATTTATTTACTTGATCGTGTTGAGTTTTGGTGCTCTCACTGCCTCTTAAGGATGAGTGCGACTATTGTACCTAATATGTACGAAATTACTCTCTACTTAACTACATTCATTTTTGTGAAAGGCAATTTTTGTTAAATTATGATATTATGTTTGGTTTTGCAGTTAGTTGAAATACAATTTAATTTTTCATACACGTTTTCTAAGCTTATAAGCGTTTTATCATTTCTATAACGAAACATTTTATAAAACACCAAAGTGACTATTTTACACCGCATGGCCTCCCTACACTAAAATAAGAATAAAACAATAGCGAAAAATGTCATTAAAGCAATGATCATTAATGTGTCTTACACACAAGGAATTAAAATATAAATAAGTATATTCATGGTTATATGGACGTCAAATATCGTGCGGTATTAAACTTTACCGATAATCTGACGTCCACATATAGAAATATAACAAAATTCAAAAATATGGACGTCAAATATCATTCAGTATGAATGTTTTAGGATATTCGGACGTCCATATTATTATGTGTACACAGGTAGTAATTTAAAGTTAAAATTTTGGCGCACACCGTGCGCCAAAAACCGCTACAAACGGCAACATTTATCAAAAAAGAAATAAGAAAGGTTTTCTAAGCGTTTTATCGTTTCTAGAATGGAGCATTTTATGAAATACCAAAGTGACTATTTCATACCGCATGGGCTCCCTACACTAAAATAAAAATAAAACAATAGCGAAAAATATCATTAAAGTAATGATCATTAATGTGTGTCTTATACACAAGAAATTAAAATATAAATATATTCATGGTTATATGGACGTCAAATATCGTGCGGTATGAAATTTACCGATAATCTGACGTACGCATATAGAAACATAATAAAATTCAAAAATATGGACGTCAAATATCATTCACTATGAATGTTTTAGGATATTCGGACGTCCATATTATTACATGTAGCAAAATCTAAGGACACGAAAACAAATTGGAAAGTAAAATTATCTACTAGCACTGAGTACAGTATAAACCGACAAAAATACTAAAATATGCCTTGAGCACTAAATAAATAATCAACATAAATAAATGGTAAAATGCAATAATCAACAACAACTTTGGACATCGGATATCGAGGAAGTGGACGTGAAATAAAACTTAGTGTGAATATTTTAGGATATTCTTACGTCCGTATATGGGTAAATACTCCGTTCAATGCCTATGTCAAGTACATTAATCAACTTACACAAGTTTATTTACCTAAGTTACTAAATATAACCAAAGAAACTTAAATGCAAGCAAGCAAATTCTCAATGTGCGTAGGTCACAATACGGACGCCAATTAGAGCACGATATGAACGTTTTTAGTAATATAGCGTCCAATATTTATAATAACAAACACAAACAAATTGTATTTCAACTAACTGCAAAACCAAACATAATATCATAATTTAACAAAAATAGCCTTTTACAAAAATGAATCTAGTTAAGTAGATGTAATTTTGTACAGATTAGGTAAATAGTTCGCACTCATCCTTAAGATAGTGATCATAAAAAGGAAACTCGCACTGAGAGCACCAAAACTCAATATGATCAAGTAAATAAATTATATTTTCGGAGTTATTCATGTCAGCAACAATACGCCACGGTCTATTGTAGAAATTAACAACCCATTGGCAGTCAATGCAGTAAAACCTTATATTAAAATGAGTTTCTTCCCAAGGTCATATTAGGTTATTAGTCACAATATAAGAAAATGAACACCTGTCAATATCTACTATTAGTACTTATTTACAATAGTAAAATAAATAATAATATAGTCAATGTATCACGGCTGAGCAATCCTAGATATTTTTTCGTATTTAATAAAAGAATAACTAGTCGGTAAATTGATCATGATAATATCTATCTGTTTTTTTTCGCCGGAGACAAAAATGATATTGCGTATTATTTTTAACTGCACATTCTGTGGATTTATTACATTATTTTGAACAATATACGAAACTTAAGTGACTAAAATTAAATCTAATCTGAACCAGAATCATAAAACTGTATTATTCGTGCTTAACGAATCTAATAAAGATCTGTTATTTTTGTCTCCTGCGAAAAAAAACAGACTATAGAAATCTATAGAATACCTACATAAACAAAATATCACCTACTATAAATAAAATATTACACAGCGGAATATCTGATAAGAGTGGCAACGTCGCACCATACAAAGGAATTGCGTTAAGCAGGAGAATGAATTAAAAACTATGTATATTACGGGGATTCTGGATAATTTGTAATATGGAAGGGAGTCCTGATTGGTTTCTCTCCGTCTGGCAATATACGAATATTTGTATATCGACATATGGTAAATTTTCAAAGAAAAGAGTTAAACACTATGTTTCAAATTGTTTAATGGACCAATGTTCGCTGTCATAATGTATAAAAACTGCCTACAAGTGGTGGATGCTACAATAATGCAAAATGAAAGGATGTAGAATCAATATTGTGATATATATATATATATATATATATATATATATATATATATATATATATATATATATATATATAGGCTGTAATGAATGCGTTAATCAATTAAAAAAAATGAATGGATCAAATTAATAATAAATTTTTGTCTGTCGGTTTTTGCTATGGATAAAGAAATGCACACATATTATAAAATTTTTCGTAGTTGTTGATCTTACTTGATTTTTTCCTGTTGTCCTGACTATTGACTTTGAGTTGCGGTATGTGTCACGTACGATTTCCACGTAGGTCTCTGGTACCAACTTCGACCGCAACGCCCACCAGATCATCTCCCTAGGAACACAGTCAAAGGAGCAGGTCTAGGAATAAAAAATGCAGAGGCATATTCTTTTCCCGGTGCTTCTCTATGAGGATCCTTAGGGCGAATATAGGGTCCATGGTACCGCGTCCTGGTTGGAAGCCGTACTGGGAGTACGATACTTTACACTTCTGTCGGATCCTGGTGTCAATAATGCGCTCGAAGAGCTTCATGGTGTGTGACGTCACCTTTATACCGCGGTAATTACTGCAATCCTGAACGGATCCTTTACCCTTGTAGACCGGCGTTATTATACTAAGCCGCCACTGATCGGGCATTATTCGGTCGCTCAGGATTCTATTATAAAGGTTAGTAAGAATGCACACACCACGAGCCCCCAGCGCTTTCCACGCTTCAATTGGCACCTCGTCCGGTCCGACAGCTTTCCGATTCTCCATGTGACGAAGAGATGCGAAGACCTCGTCAGGCGTAATCGGTGGCACGAGTCCATGGTTCGGGAGTTGTTCGGGAGGGTGCACTTCCCGGTGCTGAGTATTCAGCAAAACGTGGAAATAAGAGCGCCATCTCTCCTTCACCGCACGATCATCGTACAGGAGCTCGCCATTAGGGCCGTTGACGCTGCAGCAGCGAGTAATATGTTGCGCTGCTTTGGCCCTAGAGCGCGCCAGTTTATATATGAGCTTGTGCTCCTCAGGAGTGTCCAACTTAGCATATAATGGTTGCAAGTGGTCACGCCTGGCTCTGGCTACAGCTTTCTTGGCAGCTCTTTTCGCTGTCTCGTAAGATGCGCGATCTTCAGGAGATTTGGTCGCTTGCCACGTCTTGAAGAGCGCTTTCTTCTCCCGTAATGAACCCTGGATTGTGGCGTCCCACCACCAGGTCTCCTTGTCGATTTTGCGACCCCCTTTCGCCACGCCGAGGACTTGCTTTGCCGTCTTTGTGATTGCTGTCTGAATGCTTTTCCAGCACTCTTGGACGGACTTGCCTGCTGTGTCGAGACTAATATCCCCAGCGGCAGAGTCAAACTCAGAGTATCTGGTTTGATCCAGCAGCCACCACTTGATTTGACGGCGGTAACGTTCGACGTGTCTGCGACGGGGTTTTAAGAAGTCGGTGTTGGGCAGTAAGACACTCACCGGGTATGACCTTACAGTTGGCCACGCGACTGATATGACTTCTCCTGGTCAGTAGATAGTCGATTTGAGTGGCTTTCCGACTGCTCCTGTAGGTAATCAGGTGCTCGATTTTCTTTTTGAAGAACGTGTTCACCACGGCCAGGTCAGCTGCAGTGCAGGTTCTGAGAATGGTTTCCCCCTCTGCGTTTCTTCGGCCGTAACCATAGCCGCCGTGGACACGTTTATACTCCCCCTGCATCTCGCCCACATGACCGTTCAGATCGCCACCCAAGACGACATCGTGGGACAACAGTATGCTGCATAGTAAATCTCCGAGCCGATCCCAAAACAGCGTCTTATCCGCGTCGCTGCAGCCGACCTGTGGGGCATAGGTACTTATTAAGTGGGTCACGACCCCCTCAATAAGCAACCTTACTGCCATAAGTCGGTCGCATATGCATCTAACTTCCAAGACGCTATCGTGGAAATGCTCAGCGAGCATCACTGCCACACCGTTCTCCCCACCAGAAGAGCCTGTATAGATCAGCTTGTAGCCGTGCTCAATATTCAGAATATTCCTCCTGTTGGCTTTCCACCGTGTCTCCTGCAGGAACGCCACTGCCACTTTACGCCTGGCAAGTATGGCCCCCCGTCCCGTAAGCGTGCCAATGTTCCAGTTTGCAAAGCGAATCTTCGTAGTTGGTGCTAACGTCTTTAGCCGGGCTCGCACGGGGCCCGGTAGCCCTCGCATACTTGTGGCAGGGTTAAGGCGATCTCCACGCCCTAGTCCTAAACGTATAACTCTTTCTTTTACTTTCCATTTTTGAGTGGCTTAGTGCCAATTACCGGGGCGACTGCCGTCTGACCCCCGAACCCCTAGAACGAATCCCAGGGGAGTGGCATCGCCAGAGCCCTTTCCGTTGTCCAGCAGGCGCGCCACGTGCAGGCGGGGTTGGCTTGGGCTCCAAGATCTTAGCGGAGCCCCTTACACCCAGTAGGAGGGGGCAGGCTAGGAGGCAATCTATGAGGAAAGCCAACTCTTATGCCGGCTGTACACGCTCGTCTCCTCGCCTCGTGTACCTCTCGTCGTGTTTAGGCTCTACATGAGAACACACCATGTACACACTCGTATCATTTGAACTCCGTATGCCCGCTGAGATGGACCTAGATGAAACTGTTGCTGCGATTTGCCTTTGTGCTATTAGTTGTTATAACTTTTGACACATTTACCATAAAAATAAAATTAATAAGCCACGGCGAAGAATAAGATGGTGGATGGTTTCTATTTACTGAATATAACTGAACCGTGTACAGTGAATATAATATAGTACGCTCTCATTTTCGTCGCGAGACTCACGAGACCCTTTGACTCGAGCGCAAAAAACCGACAAGCTTCCGAGAGGGCACGAGGCCCACGAGACGCGACGAGAGCACCATGTACACACTCGTACTCGGCCTGTCTCGTGGTGTCTCAACGAACGTGTACAGCCGCCATTAAAGTTTCATTCATGGATCAGATCAAATCTTGGATTTTCTATTCCTTCAATTCTGAAATGCTTTTAGTTTCTGGGTAACCAAACAGATTTATTTTTAAATTACAAATTTCTCTGTTTACAGGCCTCAGAAGACAAGCGCAGCCAGAAAGACATTGGAGACATTGCTGGTGTTGCAGATGTTACTATTCGGCAGTCCTACAAGCTCATGTATCCATTTGCTGCTAAGCTTTTCCCCGAAGATTTTAAGTTCGCCATACCAATAGAGTTCCTGCCGCAAATGTAAAATGTTATTTGTTATATAATTCTTACAAGTTTGTTTAAGTCGGAAGTGTTAAGAATCAACCAAATTAAAAGGTCATATAAAGACTATATGACTACTGCCTCAATCTTATTTCATTAACAATTGTCAGAAATTGGCTACTCCCTTACTAGAGAGGATCTGCCGTTATTGGGTAATTGACATCATCATTAATATATTGCTATATAATATAATTTGTACTTGCTACTTTTAGTCTTAAAACTTGGTCTGTTTTTCGTTTTAAGTAAAATTAGATTTCTAGCTAAAAATATACTAATATGATGGTTTTTTGACTACAAAAGTTATGACAACATTACTCTATTAAACTTAGTTATATCAATGATTATTGCTTGTTTAATTTAAGTATTAATTATCTCTGTCTGTCTTATTCTATTGTCATTTAGTGAAGAGAAAGAGAGAGCAATTTTCAGCCTTGCTTAAATTGTCATCAATTTTTTAGAGTAAGCCTTATGTAAACTCCTATAACATTTCTATTTCTATAGGCTACTTCTATTTATATAGTTTGCTTTAATACATTTTTAAAAGTATTTCAATTAAACAGTTTCAAACACCCTATTGTCATAGTTGGTTCGCACCTGTCAAGCTTTGGCCCATATGCATGTCTTTTTGGTTATGTCATGTCAAGAAACGAAAGTATGATGATTAGATAGGTGGTTAAGCACTTAGCTGTGCCACTGCAGTCCTACAAGTAATTATTCCGGCTCTAGATGTTTGACTGTGCGCAGTTTTGTGCGTAAAACGCCTTACGATATGGGAATAATTTCTAGTGTGGGGGTAAAAATGACAAAGGAACAAAAAATAGAACAGTATACAGCTATTTATGAACATCTATACAGGGTTATTTTTCAAGAGTAGCCAAATTTCAAACTTAAGTTCAAATATATAAATAATGTTATACTGTTATTGCAGTTTTTGAAAAAACGAGTGAATAAGGCTTATACTTTTATTTAAAATTATCCCAAATTCAGTGTGATTTATGGGTAAGAACGCTTTTGCCTACCGAGCGACCCTTGCCAATGTGTGCATGCGCAGTAAAATCAGTTAAAATAATGCATTACCATGCATTTTCAATTTAAAAGATAAAAAGAACAGATTATTTGGGTTTTTATTAATTGTTCTTCACCTAATAATTTGCCTATGTTACTTATTCTGAATGTTCTCTGCAAATTTGGCCAGTTATTGTAAAATAATCCTGTATAATCTCTTCCAATCCAATTTTCTATGAATGTGAATTATTTTAAGAGATTCAATGATTTAAACCGAATGTGAAATGTGTTACATTTTAAGCAAGCTTTTCAAGCTTTATATTGTTTTTATTCATAGAAAACTGAATTATGGCATAAATTATTTATTAGTATTTTAAGTGTTAATACATATAAGTGGCACAGGATAATCTTTATGATTATTTAACCATGGGCTTGTGATGGTTAATGAAACATTATCCATTTAATTTTTAAAATATCAATGTTTAGCATATTAATTAGTAAATGTGACGGATTTGTGTTGTCTGTATTTTAAAGTTGTTTGATTTATAATTATAGAATACTATAATTACATATTATATAATAGAACGGGGGAGTGGGCGGAGCCCGTGTAACCACTAAAATGTCCCTATCACGTCAATTCACACGTATAAATGACTTTTAACATACTGATAGTGGTCTAACACCTGTGTTTGTCATATTTGTTCTAGGTAATTCAACAAATAGATTTGTCAAAATTCTCGGAGGAAAACTGAATCCTTGTATTATCACAGACTCTTATTTTAATTAAACTCATAAGCTTTCATTTTCCACTCAATACGTCGTTGGCGAATTTTATCAAACCGCCACAACAGAAAGAAAAACGAAGAAGAAGAGATGAATTTTGACGTTACAATCGTTTCCAAGTTTCGCATGCAAATTATTTAGAAAATGCCAAATTGCACGCTATTTACAAATAAATGCGTATTAAGATCTGTCTGTCAATACAGCGAATCGGGTTTGTAGTAGTGATACATACTACGTAATTGCTTGTATGTATGTGTGCTCCCAGCGATGCTTATCGTCGTACAAAATAAGGTTGACAGCCATTCTATTGTGTATTATAGTATTCTATGTTTATAATGGTGATTGTATACATAGTGTATTAGAAATACTGACCGAAGTGACCAAAACATATTGCATATAAACGGCATATATAAGCCATATAAATGTATATTTGTTACCATCTTATTTGCATTTTGTAATAACAATGTTGTGTCTGTAGTATTCATTCTGACCAATATACATGTTATGATTAAGTAAAATATGATCTCTTTGATTTTTGCATTAGGAACTCCCGTAACAATTGCCTTTTGTATTTGTAAGTACAGTATTAAATACGGTTTGTATGTACTGATGATTTAATGATTAAAAGTTGTTTTGTAGACTTACTTAAACTAGACGAACATTTATCAAAAATAGAAATAAAGAGAGATAATGACAGTGATAAATAAGTATGGAGACAGATTTATTGCGATTGTTATTGGAGCCTTTAAAGAAAATCGTATAATAAAATGATAGGTGAAAACTGTCATATAAAACATCCTAATTTGATTGTTATGAACAAGAATCTATAAATTCGATTTGAGAACTTTTTGTAATAAATAAAATAAGATTCTACAAACATAACATTCTTCACTTTTATTAACATTTTATTCAAATACATATAATATGTAACTTATGCAAATTATCACATACATATTAGTCGACTGTGCAATTGTGTTTTTTTACACTGCAATCTAATGTTTCGTAATTTACAGGAGAAAAATATTGCATGTTTTCATTTTTTATAATTTGTTATTTAGAGGTTAACTACACACACAGCCCACATAATCAACATAATCGTAATGGTAAGTGTAAGAAGACACCTACATCTATCATTGACTTCGACCAATAATATACTAGGTTCCCGATGAGCGCTTTAAAAACGGCCAGAAAAATAAGACCACAAACACTTCTGTGGTCTTATTTCAAATTAGTATAGTCCAATTATAGCTAACGTTTAAACGTCGAAATGCCGCAGTGCGCGCGTTCAAAAACTGTGCAAATAACCACCGTAATACCAAGAATTTGGAAGGAATGTCTTTTTTTCGGTAAGTTTAAAGTGTTTTTCGGTAAAATAAAAACAGAATTAAATAGCAAAAATAATTCAATTAGCTAATATTATGATTGTTTGGCCAATGTTTGCTATAACGCAACAACTGTTGTAACAAACATCGACTGTTCTTGAACAAACATGCATGGAGTAGTATTATTATTTAGTATATATATTTTTTTTGTAGATTTCCTAGGGACCCATTTCGCTATGCAGAATGAATATCTATTGTCGCGAAAGAAAGAGGAGAAGAAATATATATACAGCCCATCTAAAAATTTGAGAATTGAATTAAATAGCAAAATAATTCAATTAGCTAATATTATTATGATTGTTTGGGCCAATGTTTGCTATAACGCAACAATTGCTAACAAACATCGATCATGGAAAACGTAAACATGCATGGAGTAGTATTATTATTTAGTATATATATTTTTTTTATTTCTCTAGGGACCCATCGAATACGTTCGATTCATTTTGATAGATTGGACATAACTGGAAAAACGCAAAGACGTAGATTACTAAAAACAGCGGTTCCCAAATTGCAGGTGATTATCATAAAGTAGTAAAATTGGTAGTGTAAGATAATGCTTTTGGTAAAAAAGTAAGTTGTTTATGACTTTTTTAGATTCACGGACCAATAAAACTGCAGCTTTATGTTCAGAATGACGAATAAGTTATCAAATCAGGTAATAAAAAAAATCTTTATCAGAAAAAAACTATACCTGTAGGTATTTTCATGAAATACTTTAAAATTGTTTTCAATAAGCTTTAACTTTTGAAGATACCACAAAAATACGTGACGTACCTCGGGCTGATGCAGTTTGCTTGAAGTCTCCTGATGCATCATTATCAGATTTAACATTGATATGTGACACTCCTAGAAAAAGTGTATTTAAAAAAGAAATTGACGACCTTTCATTGAATATCTACTACTTAGTCCTACTACTTTTATAAATCGGTCAAAAATATTTGCCGCCATACAAAACGACCCTTGCCCTAAAATTTTTATATTCTGCAATTCTACGTCTTTCAATACTCACTGTGTTCCGAGCATTGAAATATAATACCAAGAACTACGTCTACCCTCTACTACGAAATAAGTACTAAAATGTCAACATAATGTTTTAACCTTATTACTTAAGAGTTTAAGTTTCATTTTAGAATAAATATTTTTGTAACCTATGACTTTTTATTTGCAAGCGATATTCGAAACTTATTGCTTTTAACCTTTCTCTGATGAAAGGACTTAAAAAAATATATTTTGCAATGGTGATTAAAGTTTATGTTAGAGTGTTATTAAGGTTTATAATAAACTGAAGTTGTTAATGTAATTAAACTTTTTTCTAAGATAGATACATGTTTATGTGTGTGCAAACGTCGCCACTTGTGCGACCTATTTTTGTTCCTGATCCTTAATCTAGTATATAATTGATGGAAGATCATTGATTAAGAATCGAAATGTTGACCCCTAAGGACTAAGATGGAATGCCTCGTTGCCATTAAAAAGTCTGCAGTTCTCTACACTAACCATATGAAACACAACAGAATTATACTGTTATATTACGCTAGTATTCTTGAAAGTCAAGTTTTGTGATTGAGCCAATGCATTCGTGCTCTAATCATTATTAAGCTATAGTTTTCACGAAAGAGATAATAGTTTTTCACCGAGGTCATGAAGCGAGAAGGTTCTATATTCAACACGTCTTTTATGTATCATTACCGATTTCTAGTAAACCGCTGAAACGAATTAAATTATTCTTTTTTATTTAATACTTTATAATATTAAGGAATTTATACTTAATTGGTTGGTCCCGTATAAATTTAAAGAATAAATTCATCCCTCTGGGTAGAAAAATTAAAGGATGAAGATATTAATGTACCTATTTAAATAACATTCTAGTTGCTACATTGAAATTGTACCTTAGAGCGCTCAAAAGGTAAATTAATTTAGCTTTTAATAAAAAGTCTAAACAGACATCGAAACCAAAATTATGGAATAATTTAATATAATAGCTCCTGAAGTCTGGGTTTTAATTCTTCAATACAATATCTTAGAACCAATTTTAGAACTTGTTATTTAAAATTTTGAAGTAAGAAGAAGTTTTCTTTACCGACGTAGTGGTGGGGAACTTGAAACTTTGAAAAACAAAAACATCACGTTTTCTTGTAAAGTCTCCCTACTTTTGTATTATGTTATTGTTTAATGTACTTAGGTAAAATATGAAATGGAAGAATGATATGTCGTAAAAAAGTTTCATTTCGTACCTGTGTATACAATAACTTGCCACATTTTTTTGGATTGTATATTATACGAAGTAATATATAAGTCTAGTAATACCACTATGAAATATGACATAGAACTTATGCGTCCCTATATGGACCTTTTAATAGTAACCCCGCAGAAACTGAAAACATAAGTGTGTTACCAGTGCGACTTGCCAGTGCTTGATGACTTATGGAACCGAGACGTGATATATATATATATATATATATATATATATATATATATTTTTTTTTTTTTTTATATATATATATGTATCTTGAAGCTCAGTTATTTGGTTATATATAGTGAATGCTATACTCGGAGTGTTTCGACGCCAAAAAATCCGTAATGAAGGTATCTGCAGCATAACAAATTCATTATTTATGGTTAATCAAAAGTCCACTGCTGAACATAAAGGTCTCGCCCATAGATCGCCCCATAGTGGGCATAATTGCCAAGGTTGCAACACTTGACACAAGGATTGGCAACCACAGTTTTTTATTATTTTAAATTTTTAACAAGATGATGCTGTTAGATGATATTGAGGTATTAAATTCTCACGCGACCGCTGCACGACAGTGCTGGTGGACAAGAACGTAATATTAAGAAAATCAATATCAAAGATAAAACTAAAAGTTCTTTAACAAAATATTTAGCATAAGCAAAATTACCGAAATACTCTAAAGCAAGGTTTAGACGAAGCCAGTTTGACTGGCACCCAGCGCTGGTTTGTTATTGGCCTCGTATAAACAGTTTTTTTAAACAAGCCAGCGCTGGCTGCCAACACTGGTGGGAATAAGCGCCTGCCTATTTTTCAAGCCAGTGACCTCCGTGTGCCCCGCAACCCCCCTGCCAGAATAAATAATTTGTATTATAAAAATTTAACTAGTAATATTGTACAAATTCATATATTTGATGAATGTATATGATAAACATTATTTTTGAGTTAAAGTTTAAAAAATCATTCATTTAATACAACGATTTGCATGAATAATCTACGAATGAAATGAATCCATTTGGCCTCATCTAAACAACACGGGCCAGGACAGCGCTGGCTTGTCTGAGGACTGGCGCCAGCATTACTGGCTCCGCCTAAACCTTGCTTAATGGATTAGTAAGCTCAAGTGGCTATTGCTATGGCCGTTAGCTTAACTATTGCTTAAATACTCAATTGTTACTCAATTTTAAAATGCCGTTAAGTTTCGTGTAGTCTCTATCACTAAGTCAAAGTGACTGTGATAATGACATCTTAAAATTGAGTAGCTTGACAATCGAGAGCAGGGGAAGAAAGAATATCGAGTTACCTTATGCTGG